TAATAGGCATAAAAACAATTACAGACAGACCGATGTTAATTGAATTATTATTAGTAAATTGTCGGTTAAACCAATAATTGGGGGGGTGTTAACTGCACCATGTAATTTTTATACGCTAATGTGTTTATTTAGAATATGACTACTGATTTTGATACGTTAGCTTTTATGGTTTTTGCTTAAGTTTCTGCTTGTCTTTTTTGTTAGAACATACTTCGTATCGTCAATTTTTTTTGTTTTTATTAATTACATATAAAGTGAATGAAATATATCTATTTAATTTATGTTATTATGAATTAAAATATAAAGTATGGAAAAATATTTATATACATTGACACTCAGTCCTTTTTAACGTCCTACTGTCACTGGGCACAGGCCTCCTATCAATACGAGAGATCAGGCCATAATCTACCACGCTAGCCAAGCACGGCTTGGCGGACTTCACATATCTTTCGAAAACTTGCTAGGTTCTCTCAGACATGCAGGTTTCTTCATGATGTTTTTCTTCACCATGAGTCAAGTGGTAATAAGTGCTTTGCACGTGTGGGTTCGATCCCATCCTCATCGCTAATGTTATATTTCGTAATTATATTTAAATCATAGGTGCGAGATCCGGGATTTGAAAATGCTTCACTAGGTTTCCTAAACAAGCGCGTTACCGGTAGGCTACCATTGTGCTACAAACATTGATTAATGATTAGCAAATAAAGACCTTAAGGTTTTACATTCCACCCATTGTAGCAAGTGTTTACTCTATTTGGGTAAATCAAAAAAAAGTCTACGATAATTTCTACTCTGCTTATACAGTGATACGTGATATCTATCACAAGAAAAGTAATTCTATGTATTTAATAAAAATGAAATTTGTTTATTGGTAAACGCTTATAATATATAGATCTTGTGTTCAAGTTCTGGGTCGAGCTAAAATTAGCTATTCAGTTTTTCTGTTAAGAAATTGCCAGTAGCCAGTCTTGGTAAGATTGGCAGCCATCATCATCATAATTTTTCTATGACCTCAAAGATCATAAATTTTATTGAAATTTAAACACGACAAAGCTAGTCGGGTCATCTAGTAAAAAAACAAAGTTATCTTTAAGTAATTTTTTTAATGAGTATACGAATACCGCAGACTTTGTCCGTCCCTTTTTTAAATTTCGGTTTCATTTTTGTTTTTATTTTTCAAGTTGTTTGAGTCGTACTATAGTAATGAAGTTGCCTGTCAAATAAAAATATAATCCTACACATGATTGACGCTTACAGTATGTTAATATTATAATTGCTGTGAGATCGAGATAAGGTTTTTTTGATAAGTCTTTCCGGACTTACATAAACGTTTTACAACCGTGTTTGAATATATTTAAATAGCCACTGTCTAACGCTGATTATCTAGTGGATATCATATTTGTCTGCAGATTAATTGGACCTGAGTTCGAATCCCGATTCAGGACAATTATTATGGCATATTATATAATTATGGTATTGTTTTGTTATGAAATTCTTAGCAATGCCCAAAGTTCAGATGTGGGCTCAAAGTTCAGTATGGACGAAGTTTAAGTAAAGCTAGTCCTGCCGCAAAACTTTCACATTTCGTGTCAAATTTTCGGTCCTGACGAACTTTAAAAATACAAGAAACTAGCGACTCACCCTCGCCCCGCTCGGGTTCGTCTCTAAATACGATTTATCGGTTAGTGTAGATTTCTCAGAGATGAAATATTTTCCGGTAGCAAAAAGTATTCTATATATTGAAATGGACAACCAGCTATCATCATAGCAAACATCAAACTCTGTCTAGTGGTTTTCTCGTAATGCATTCCCAGATAGACAGACAGACAGACATAAATTCTAAAATCTATAGATTCGGCCTCTGTATCGATAATAATGACTATTTCAATAAGATTGTCCAAAAAGTATTTAATGCACAGATTCGACTCAGAATTTTATTATATGTATAGATAGAGATCAGATACTCTCCTATTGCCACCAGAATATTTCTATCGGAGTTTAACAATCAAAAATCCGAGTTAAGCCGATAGTGCCTATAGTAAAATAAAAATATTAGTGTCATTTTTAAACTGTCAAAAACTAAATAATCCTACTGGACCTTCCGCTAAATTTCCAACTTGTTTAAATATCTATTTCTAATCAATTAATTATTTTACTAACAAGCCTCGCCTCAAGCGAATCCTATTATTATGATATATTTTATTGAAAGCTACCAGATACGTATAAATCGTTTTGAGTTACTAATAAAAATAAAATGTCTTGATAGTCTAGTTCTAGTACGTATAACACTGTTAAGTCCTGGGTTCGAGTCTAGAGCTAAGTTTGGTTACTAGGTCTTTTTGTCAGGAAATTCATTTAGCCTGGAGATGGAAAATTGGTGGTGTTATATCCTCTTGTCAAATGTTTTCCTTCACCGTAAGACAAGTGGAGATCATGTTTGAAATGATTTGCACATGAAAATATCATTTGTACCCGCTTCACTCGGTTTCGATCACTTCGGTTTTTATCGGTCACGTCGAATTCGTTCCATCGGACCATGTGAGTTCATCTGTGTCCGCCCACAGACTTTTAGCTATTACTACCGAAGTTCTGTCTGGTGGTCCTTTTATAACAAATTTTTGAACTTTATTTCTGGTATCAATTCCCAGGACATTTTTTTAGTATTTTTTGCTTAATTCGTTTTATATATTTTTATTATTTTTAAATAAAACTATCTTTTCGGATTATTTCGCGGATTTATTTTGATTTTTGGTTTTTTATTATTTAATATTATATGATATAGTATTTGTTGAACATCCCTCATGGAAGAAGAAACAGAACAATAGGTCGAAATGAATTTTAATATAGAAATGGTATGTACTCGTAAGTTTGTTAAACATTGTGTAACCCATGTTCTATTCCAGACTATAATCTATCTCTATACCAAATTTCATCCAGATCCGTTCAGCCGTTCTGGCGTGATTAAGTCACAAACATCCATCGAAACTTTCGCATTTATAATATTTATGGGATTTATCCATATATTTAAAAAAACTATTCCCATGAGCAACACCTGTATTCACAACTAGTACAGGATGAATTTCAACTAAGAAATTAGTATGACAGTGTCTTTACACGAAAACAAATAAATTATAAATGATTAACGGTTTGTAACATTATACTTAGTTGCTTTGTAAAGGCGGACATAATGTATATATAAATAAAGTAACTTGTTCGTTTGTTTACAATTTCTTTTTTGTCATTATTATTTTTCTAAATATAAAATTACATTTAATGAGAAATTTATGGGAACGTTTGTATGTAGGTATGTTTAAAGTGACGACCTTCATCTGCAACGGCTGGACTGATTTTAATGAAATTGAGTTCACAGATAGATTAAGACTTAGTGTAACACTTAATTTTAGAGTAATATTACAGATAATATAAATATATAAATGCATCCCCGTTTTCACCCCCTTAAAGGATGATTTCTGGGATAAAAACTATCCTATGTCCTTCCTACGATCTCAAACTATTTTCTTACCAAGTTTTATCTAAATCGGCCCAGTAGTTTCGGAGCTTATTCGGTACAAACAAACAAAAACATCTTTCCTCTTTATGTTATTAGTATAGGTATACATACAAAAAGAGAAACGGAATGTTTTTTTTTGTAAACATTCGAAACGTCGAGAAACAAAAAGTTAAATAAAACCGCGAAAAACAGTAAAAATGTATAATTTCTTTCAAAATATCATATATTCGCATAACTCTAATAAATTATTATTGAGTATGATGTTAAAGGCAAGATAAACCGACTTCTTAATCTACTTTGTTCTATATTTTATTATCATATAAGATCGCCACAGCCCCTCAAGTAAAAAAAATATCTGATGCAGACATCTGTATGGAATAACAAATTGCTCTTTTACCAATAATCGAACCCACGACCTGTCTTGAGGAATCGCCACACATCCCAATACACACTCTATATTTCAATTTGCAATAAACATGTTTGCATTTTAATAGTGATTAGAATATTTTATGACCATTGTATTTCATATAAAGACAGACACGGTTTATTACAATATACTTATAATTGGTTGTAGGATTTTACATTAACCGTTATTATTAATGCGAACGTGTGTCTGTCTGTTTGTTTGTTGGCATTTGCTGATAGCCTGTGAACTAATGTCGTTAAAATTTAAGGAAATGACTCCTAGTTTTTTTTTTATTTTTTAAAGTCAAAGATGCGAGTTTTGTTCGCATAGGTGTAAGATAATTAAATATTTCATTAGCGTTATAAAATAGCGTTTTTTTTTCCAGAAAAGACATGTATTTAGATAAACATAAAAAGCAAAACCTTATCAAAATACAAAATTTGATCCAAATCGTTAGAGCCGTTTCCGAGACACAGTAAATAAATTTATATAAATACAAGAATTGCTCGTTTAATATTATAAGATATTAGTGCCAATCACTGTATCGGTTAATGTGAAATTATTATTATACTACCAGTATAGCACTGTGGTCAAAAAATCACCATAGTTCATTAAGTTTCAACAGTATGGAGGTGCTTTTGTTGATCATAGATAGTCTGTAACCTCAAGAATTAGACTATGAAATACAAAAATATATTCAAATCAGATTGGTAGTTCCAGAGATTAGCAAACAGACAAACAATCTCTCTTAGTTTATATATAGGTAAAAAATTGCTGTACCTTTTTGAACCATAACGGAGTAATTATAAATAAAATAGGCGAAAGGAGCTACGGCTAAAAGCAAGTTTTATCTTTATGTAGTTCATATGAACTTTATCTATGCCAAAGCCTCCGTACGCACAAAATACATAAAATGGCGTACAAAGTATTCTCTTTATTTATTAATATTATTTGATGAGTATTAGTAACATTTAGAAAGGTTTATTTCGCTAATATTTTTGTAAATATTTTACTAACTATATATTATCTTTCATTACAGATAATGAACGAGATGTATAAAATCGAGTGAAAGATTCATTAGAAATGGCGTCAACTAGAATTCCTGAAATAGAAAACAATAGAAAAGAATGTGAAACCGAACGGTTACCTGCAGTAAAGCAACAGGAAAAACCTAAGGAAAACGAAAAAATACATGATAAGTTAAAAATAACGACTTTAGACATGAATTGCTATAAAGTCAGACGATCCTACCTCCATTATAGTAACTTCGGATATAAAGAAGAACTTTCTAGAAGGATCCATATAAAGAAGGAATATGGTTTTTATAACTACTGTTTTATAAGTGTTTGCCTCAGTTTTATACTAGGATTAGTAATAGGTGTTGCAATCGTTGGATCTCCACAAACAAGGATGATTTCTTCTAATTTTAACCCTAGAAAATTAGTAAGAATCAATTCAACTAGAAATCTGAATTCTAGAAGTTTAAATTCTATTAAGCTTTCTGATAAATTAGATAATGATTTAGAAAAAGATATAGATAGGTTTGCCACTGTATCTTTCACTGGCGCTGTTGATCATAAATACAAAATGGACGTATATCCCAAAGGACTTACAGAAGACATGAAAGAAATATTAAAAGATAACAAAGTAACGCATCATAAACATTTCATATCTAATATAACATCAAAATATGTTCCAAACGACAATACAGTTTTATACGAAAATATTTTCTGGGGTCCAGAAGTAGAAAATTCAATGCCACAAGGTTACGGAGAGAATTCAGCTGAAATTTGGGAAAGTTATGTTGAACAAAGTGAAGTAGTTAAAATGGAACCAGGCTGCGGAAGAATGCAGAACCGTCTTATAACATTTCAAGATGGGATTCAAGCATGTGTTCGCTATAGACAGAACACTGACCAAATTCAAGGTGAAATTTTTAGTTTTTACGTAGCCAGGTTATTAAATTTGACTAATTTAGCACCATCTGTGGTAAAAGTTGTGGATTTAAAGGATAAATTATGGCAAAGTGTTGCAAGTGATATAGCAACTGCACAATGGAATACAAATCGAGCTGTAGTATTAACTCAGTACATACCCAGCTTAGAATCTGCAACTATACCAGAAATATTTAAGCCATCAACCAGGCATTTAAACAAACAGGACGTTTTTAAAATTGCCTTAAAAGAAAACGCAACCAGTGACACGAGTAAGCAAATATTGATAGACAAAATTAGAATGAAAAATATCAAAACGAAGAAAGACGTTGTAGAAGACTTCGATCATATAGACGCTAAGCTAAATAAGAAAACAAATGATTTGTTTGTAGAATTGGCTCAATGGTCCGATCTCATTATTTTTGATTATTTAACAGCAAATTTAGATAGGATTGTTAATAATTTGTTTAACTATCAATGGAACGTAAATATTATGGATGGACCAGCTCATAATTTAGCGAGAAAAATGGACAGTGGCTTATTATTATTTCTGGATAATGAATCCGGTTTGCTCCACGGCTATAGACTTTTGAAAAAATATAACGTCTACCACAGCTTGATGTTGGACAATTTGTGCGTTTTTAGAAAAAAAACTGTAGATGCTTTGAAAATGTTACACGAAAGTTCTGTTGGTACAAAATTAAGTGATATATTCCATAAGAAAAATAATGCAGTAATTAGAGACATTTTACCTCCTTTGCCTGAGAAGAACGCAAAAGTGTTGCACGAAAGGATTGGTAAAGTATTAAGTCAAATAGAAAAATGTGAACAGAGCTTTTCAATTAGATAGTCTTTTGAAATTGTACTCTCCTTGGACTCTACATATTTTATGATTGTGTAATTGAAAGCCAAAAATAGTTTTTTTAAAACATTCATTGTAAGATAATTGTCAGCTTGAAAGAGTTAGTTTTTTTAGCATTTAGATATCAATCTTCGGAAGTATAGAACTTATTAAAAAAAATTGCACATCGTTTAATAAACATAAGCCTTTAGAAAACTAGTCTATACTATAATATAGTTGTTTTTTTTTGTTATATTTTAAATTGCATAATGAGAGTTCGCTAATAATATTAAATCGCAGGTGCATTTATAGCTCCTAAGTATAAGATCCGAAGTAAGGTGATCCTTCAACCATCTTTTTTTTTTTTTTTAACGTTGGGAAATGCATTTACGCACGACGTGTGGGACTCACCGGCGTTCAACCATCTGCTTACTGATGAAGAAATAATTTATTGTCAGGTTGGATTTTTTGACATTCAATTTGTAAAGTTTAAATTTTCTATTATATAACGATACGATATTATTGGCGATCGCCTCATATTTTTTGAGCAAACAAAAAAAATCTAATGTACATTAAATATATAAATAACTAAAAGCTGACATTATCTTTATGTAAAAATTTTGTTTGTGTTTGTAAAAATGAGTCCTAATTGTATTTTTTTAATATTTGTATAAGCTAAGGGACGGATGTTAAAAAGTATGTTAAATCTGAACATCACAGGTGATGGTATTGGTTTCCGCGACTACGTCAAATTGTGTCTATTTCATTCCTTAACCGTCACATGTTCCACATTTTAACACCCGTCTCTTACACTATAAAGTATTTATATACATATGACTGTATGGGGAAAGTGATATAAGTATATGTCGATACCAAATAATTAATATTTATTGTAAAAAAATGTACGTGCCAGTAATTAATTTGGTGATATTTAAATCTTAGATTATAGTTTTGTAAATATGATCTGTTAAACTTTTTTAATGTGAATAGAAAATTATTTATATAGAGATAATAAGTGATTTTGAAGATCGGGATTCGATTCCTGCGGGATGTATGTTGACCATATAATAACAATCCTTGATAACTCTAGATAGGTTATAAGATAAAGGGGAATTTTTGTATCCTCTTTTCATTGTCATTTTTGTATCCTTTTGTGAATGGAGAAGGTTCCTTAGTCGGAAAGTAAAATAAAAGTTTACGCCACATTAAACTATAGATCATAACTAAGAAATCAGTAGGTTTTTTTAAGATATCATCAAAAACAGAAAATGTACTATCACTCTTTTATACCGAATTGTTTAAATTAAGCATTTGCTATAAGTCTTATATTGCATTATTTTTTTACTTATATATATCAGACAATTGTTTCAACTTTTGTATATTATTAAAATGTAGACAGTGACAATTTACCAAAAAATTATATCGTTTACTGCGTTTCGAGTGCGATGATGTTTGGCTCGGTTTGTAGTGAACCTACTTGCTATACCAGCGGTCGCGGGTTCCAGTCCCGCTGGGGGTATCCAATTTACGACATAAATTTTATGTGATGAGCACGAATGTTGGTACTCCAGTCATGTGTGTTTATATTTATAATATGTATGTATTTAAAGTTATATATGTGTAGTGTATCAACTATCTGGTATCCATAACACAAGCCTCGTAGCTTACCATGGAACTAGATGGTGCTGTGTGTTAATGTCCCAACATAATATTTATATTTTATAGGCCGAGCCGAGAGTCTTTGTCAGTTTTTAAGATATCTTGTAAAAAACAATATTTCAATTTATAGCTTAAATTTTGATTTTCGTTCATAAAAAATACCATGAAACATCTCCATTATATATTTAAGAGACGTAACACCGTAACTAAATTTCGTTCAATAGAATTGGTCAAGTACAAGTTTCTGTTACGGCATCATTCTAATACGACAATATGTAAATATATGTAAAAATATGTAATTACAATAAATAAATTGAGTAAGACGACGTGCCTTTTATTATTTATACTTTAAGCTCTGTCATAAATAATTAATATTTAAGGAGTAAATGTTGCTAGTAAAGTGTGTGTATAGAGACTAGCGACTCACCCTCGCTCCGCTCTACTTACGTTTTAACTTTTAGTATAAATTTCTCAGAAATAAGATATTTTCCTGCAGTAAAAAGTATCCTATATGTTGACCCGGATAACCAGCTATCATCATACCTAATTTCATCAAAATTTGTCCAGTGGTTTTCTCGTGATGCGGTAACAGACAGACAGATAGACAAAAATTCTAAAAACTATACATTCGGCCTCTGCATCGATAGTAAAATCTATTTCAATAAGATTTTCCAAAAAAAATATTTAATGTATAAATTCGGCTTAGTTACAATTTTATTATATGTATAGATTTGAATAAGTATGTATGTTCATTGAGAATTTTTTCACAGGTTTTTATTGTCTAGTGATCGTTCAGTGGTCGTGGGCAGGTTCCGTTAGGTTTTAGTAGGTAGTACTTGTTTTGCCGGTGAATCCCACATAACCACCTGTGGTGCAGGTGGTATGATTAAATGCATTTCCCAACGTTAAGAAAAGTGGGCGTGGGCGTAGCAGTAAGCTCTCTTATTCGACCATAATTATATTATTGAAAATTTGAAGAAAACATATAGAAATAGAATATACCTATCTATATAAAAGAGCTGTTTTTAATATTTTTTATTTACAACACTAAAGCTTGTCAATAACTACTAAAACGTTAAAAAAACGTTTTGAACTGTTTTGTGTTTGCCTAATTACATTTATATGTTGATGAAGAGAAAAAAATATGAATATATAAAAAATAATATGAATTTGTTATTAACGTTTATATTATAATAAAATTAATTTAAAAAAATACCAATTATGTATATAATATAATAAATATTAATTAAGTATATAGTATAATAAAAAAATATATATTGTGCTTTGTTAGTTTAATCTTGAAAACACTACCAAATTATGTTAATGAAAAAGTAGAATTATACATCCATGCTAATATTATAAATGTGAAAGTGTGTTTATTTGTTTGTTTATTTGTACTTTCACACAGGAACAGAGTGACGAATTGGAATGATTTTTTGTCTAGAGACAGTTGGAAGGCTGGAGAGTGACATAGGCACGTTATAATACAATCAAAAAAAAAAAATATTTCTGATCAAAATTACTTGAAACTTGGTATCCATGCTCTTCAATACAATAAATAAATACGTGTTTTAACATTTTTCGATATTCATTCCATAAAGGGGTAAAATAGAGGATGAAAGATTGTATGAAACCTAAGGTAGTTTTAGAGATATTTTTGTAGTTAATATATTTCTTTGAATCCAGGATTCGATTTCCGATTCAGTCATAATTATAAAGTAAAAAAAATATATAATAAATCTCATAAACTAGTCTTTTGGCTAATTTTATTACTAGCAGAAGCCTATGTGTTACTCCAAACCATGGTCTATTTGTGTAGTGTGTACTAAATATCATCCAAATCTTTTTTAGCATGTAGATAACAAATATACACAAATGTGAACTTTCGCATTTATAATAATAATTCGATAAATAGAAAAAGCACCGGAAGGGCACACCGAAGCCAAGCGCGGGATCGCTAATTATATAAAGGCGAACAGAACTCCAGACAAATTTAGCTTAGTTATATTTCATATATTGAATACATGAAATCTAACCAATTCAATCAATTGACTCATTTACCAAATATTAGCCTTAGCCTTTACCTGCTTAAGCTAAAATTTAGCATGCCTACTTGTGGGTGAGTACCCTTGCTCCGCTCGAGTTCGCCCCTAAATAGATTTACCCGATTCTGATTTCTCAGAGATGAGATATTTTCTAGCAGTAAAAAGTATCCTATATGTTGATCCGGATAACCAACTGTCGTCATACTAAATTTCATCAAAATCTATCCAGTAGATTTCTCGTGATGTGTTCCCAGACAGACAGACAAAAATTCTAAAAACTATAGATACGGCCTTTTATCGATAATAATGACTATTTTAATCAAATTTTCCAAAATATATTTAATGTACAGATTCGTTTCAATTAGAATTTTATTATATGTACTATAGGTGTAACTTCGGTAACAATATAATGCCGGATCCACACGCTTGCTAATTTTCTACAAGGACTTGAGAACCGATTGTGTTGGTTTTTGTGCACAAATCAAAGCGCTGGCTCATCACGCAAGCGAAGCTGCCAAATACTAGTTAAAAAAAAACTATTGCGAAGAAAAAGTAATAACATGTCATATCTATGCAGATAAAATATAAAATTGAAGTGTCTATACGTAATGCCAAAATTACAGCTTTTTACTAAATGCATAGGAAATTATATACGGTACTTAGAAGAAAAACATAATTTTTAATATTTTTGTCTGTCTGTCTGTCTGTCTGACTGTTTTTTCCTGTTAATTTCCAAAACGGTTAGACCGATTTTGACGAAACTTTCACTGGCAGATAGTGTTGAAAGGAGTAACTTAGGCTACTTTTATTTTAGAAAAATAATCAAGGTTCCGTGCAAAAATATTAAAACCCACAAAATTATGAATAAAATCGTACCCGAGCGAAGTGAGGGTAAGTCGCTACAGTTATAATAAAACGAAATATTTTTAAAAGATTCTTTTTGTTAAATTAATAAAACGATGCACAACTTTATTATAAAGTTGTAATATTTTAATGTTTTTAACAATTTATTCTTTTGCACTATTACTATCGCCACGATGCCGTTTTGCTATATTTTTTTCATACAGATAAAACAATATTTTTAAGATACAACTACAGATTATAAAAACCGAACTAGTAGTGTTGCCAGCAATACGATACGAAATCATTATTTCAACACTTTTAATTAAATAGGTACGTGATCTAGTATAATACTAAACTTCAATAGGTTCTAAACAAAAAAAAACCGGTTAACAAACAGAGGAGAAAAAAACTCTGAACTGTTTTGTCTTTGCCTATTTGTTTAAAGATTTTATACACATT